CCTCCCAGAGTACTAGGATTACAGGCGTGAGCCACTGCGCCCGGCCCCTCTTTTCTCTTATAATATAAGGATACTAGTTCATTAAATTAGAGGGCCCGCCCTGAGCCAGTTACGACCTCTTCTTAACTTCCTCCTATCTACAAATACCTTGTTTTCAAATAAGGTCACTTTCTAAGGTTCCAGGTAGGCATGCGTTTTGGGAGACAGTGTTCAACCAGTATAGACACCAAAGAACAATCACATAACTTCAGGCAGAGATCTTGTAAAGTTGCAAATAGAAGTGTGATTTTGGCAAGAGCTAGTGCCAAAACGGAAAAAACTTTTCTGTAGCTATAGACCATTAGATGGAGCTGGCTGGTTTCATGGACATGGCTTTATACTGGTTGAATACACATCCAAGTTGCTATTGCAGGAGGGCCAAACTCACTCAAACCCTTACTGCAGCTTATTAAAGACCCTTAAATGTGCTCTGATTTTGACCATAAGAAACAGGCATATTTGGGTTTTTTTGTGCCATGGAATATTATTTTATTCTGTACAGTTAAATATATATATATATACATATATAATACCTACTGTGTGCTGGCACGATATATAGAAGTATTAGAACATATTTTGTACACCTGTGACATGTAGGGTTTTCTACAGAATGTATGTACTTTATCCTTATAACTACCCTATATTGATTTGTAAATAAGGAAACTGATACCCTGGGAGGTGAAGTTACTTCCCCCAGGTCTGCAAGTAATTAGACTTTGTCACAAATATGACTCCACAGCCTCAGCCCAAAGCAGAGGGCTGTAGAGATACAGCCCAGCCATTCAACATAGGGGGCATGGAGGATGCATTGGATATCAAAGTAGGATAAGCAGTTTGTGTCAAAGTAACCTTTCTTCTCAGACTGAGGATCCTGGACTTTATTCTGAAGGCAATGAGGAGTCAGCGAACATTACTGAGGGAGTAGTGACTTATGCTATGTACTTTGTTTGATCAACATTTATTTATTGAGTTGTGTTACACACTGGGCTTAATGCTAAGGATAAAACCATTACAAAAGAAAGAATCCCTGCCCTCACTGAGCTTATTAGAGCCTAATGTATGAAGTAACAGAAGGGAGGTTGGTATTTTCTTATAATCCATTTGAAACACAGGGAAGTATGGGTAAGAAACAAAGTTAAAGAAATCAGCAGGAAAACAGTTTTGTTTTGTTTTTTAACTTTATTCAAATTAATATGAGGATACAAAATATTTAGGTTACATTGTTCTCACAGAGCAAAGTTCCGTTTGCAGAAGAGCCCCTCACCCAGAGGGCGTATTATACACCCTCATAATGTGCACTTTAGGTGAGATCCCGCCTCATACCCTCCCTCTTCCTGCCAATTGTCCTCCCTCCTTCCCTTCCCACTTCCCTCTACCTCCTAACTGGTCTACAATAGTGTTTTATTGTTCTTATGAACATGTAATTGGTTTGTTTGTTTGTTTGAGACAGAGTCTCAAGCTGTCATCCTTGGTAGAGTGCCCTGGCATCAACAGCTCACAGCAACCTCCAATTCTTGGGCTTAAGCAATTCTCTTGCCTTAGCCTCCCAAGTAGCTAGGACTACAGGTGCCCACCACAATGCCCAGCTATTTTTGGTTGCAGTTGCCACTGTTGTTTAGTGTCCCAGGTGGGGTTTGAACCCGCTACCCTCACTGTATGTGGCTGGCACTGTAACCACTGTGCTATGGGTGCTAAGCCAAACATGTAATTGTTTATATATTGATTTCATACTAGTATGGAGTACATTGGATATTCATCTTTCCATTCTTGTGATACTTTACTGAGAAGAATGTATTTCAACTCCATCCAGGTAAATGTAAATGATGTAAAGTCTCAGCAGCACCCATAGGTCAGTGAGTAGCCAAACACACCGAGGCTGGTGGGTTCAAATCAGGCCTGGGATAGCTAAACAACGACAACTGCAACAGAAAAATAGCCAGGCGTTGTGGCAGGTACCTGTAGTCCCAGCTACTTGGGAGGCTGAGGCAAGAGAATCGCTTAGGCCCAAGAGTTTGAAGTTGCTGTGAGCTGTGATGCTACAGCACTCTACTCAGGGCCACAGCTTGAGACTCACTCTGTCTCAGAAAAAAAAAAAAAAAAAAGATGTAAAGTCTCCTTTTTTTTTTTTTTTTCTTTTTTTGAGACAGAGCCTCAAGCTGTCCCCCTGGGTAGAGTGCAGTAGCATCACGGCTCACAGCAACCTCCAACTCCTAGGCTCAAGCGAGTCTCCTGCCTCAGCCTCTCAAGTAGCTGGGACCACAGGCACTCGCCACAATACCTGGTTATTTTTTTTTGGTTGCAGCCATCATTGTTGTTTGGCAGGCCCGGGCTGGATTCAAACCTGCCACCTTAGGTGTATGTGGCTGGCGCCTTAGCCCCTTGAGCCACAGGCGCTGAGCCAGTCTCCATCTTTTTTAATGGCTACCTAATATTCCATGGTATACATATACCACAGTTTGTTGATCCATTCATGGGTTGATGGGCCCTTGGGTTGCTTCTACAACTTGGCAATTATGAATTATGCTGCAATAAACATTCTAGTGCAAATATCTTTGTGGTACAATGATTTGTGTTCTTCTGGGAGGGAAATAGTTTTAAAGGATAGAGAGCTTTGTAGATCATCTTAAGGATAGCAGGGAGCCACTGCAGAGTATTGAGTGGGGCAGTGACAATGATGTGACATGGTGGTTGAGAAACAGGAATGGATCACTGATAGTGCCTAGGCTTCTGGCTTGGGGAGATGGCAATGATGATGCACTTCCCTGAGACAGAGGACATAGTAGTGGTGAGTTCATTTTAGATTGTTGAGTTCCACCTTCTTGTGTGACACCTGAGTGGAGGTGCCTAGCAGGTTAAGGGACATACAACAGGGGGGTCCCTGAAAGGGAACTAAGCCAGAGATTAAGATCTGAGTCACACATAGGTGACATAGGTGACATAGTTGGTAACTGAAGCTGTGGGAGTGGATAGGGAGAGTCTCCAGAGTGAGAGTGAGGCTGTGAGAGGGTCACCATGGAAGAGGCAGACAAAGGAACAGGGGTCCAAAAAAGACAACAGAGAGTGCAGACTCTCACCAGAGGCTTTCTTTCTTTTAACGCCTTCTCATATCTTCTCAGGCAGCAGCTTATATTCATTCCCTGGTGCCATAACTACTCCATCCCTTAGTGTAAACCCTCTCTCTTCTGCTGTTAGGGAGTTCATCTTGCATATCTAACAGAGCAATAAATCCATTGATTCTGTTAACTACATCCAGTTCACTACAAGACCTGTAATGGTATTCATTTTGGAGGTCAATACAGCTGTCAATGGAAGTTTTTCCCCGAGAGGCCCATCGGCTTTCTCTGTTGTACACTGGCAGAAGTTGTCCTGCCCAGCATCAGAAATGACTAGAGAGTAATTAATGCTGTGGAGCATTAATGAGCTGGTGATCCTGCCTGGGGCTGTGAGAAGGGCACAGCCTGAAATAGGTCAGATGATGGGGAGAGGAACCATGTCTCTTCTGATACGATTTGAATAACCCTAGAAAGCCTCTAATACCACAGCCAAAGCCTTATTCCACCAGCTATCACACTGCCCAAAGTTACTTTTCTTTGTTTTTGGCCGGGGCTGGGTTTGAACCTGCCACATCCAGCACATGGGGCCAGTGCCCTACTCCTTTGAGCCACAGGTGCCACCCCTAAAATTACATTTTTAAACTTGTATTTATTTTGACTAAGAAGTTTCACTGCTGGCATTTGTGAATTCTGAATGAATATTTTTGATTATTCTGTAAACATGTACTAAGATCCTTCTATGTACCTGGCTTTCATTAGGTACATCCTGGGACCGTAGGGATAACCACATCACAGTTACTGTTCTCAGAAAGCCATGGGCGGGTGAGGCAAGGAAGCAGAGTGACTGTGGGTCTAAGAGAAGTATGGGCCAAGTGCCTTTGGCACACAGAAGAAGAACCAAGTCCAGGATGGCTTCAGAGAGAATATGATATCCCTGTAGGGTCTTAAAGTCTGCATCTGAGTTTGCCAACACAGTGGAAGTGAAACGCAGGCGGAAGGAGCACTATAAGCCAAAACAAAGAATCATAAAAGAGGCTGGTGTGTTTAGGGCCTGATGCTCCTTCCATATGCCTTGTTTATGGGTGGAGAAAAGCAGGAAATAGGTCAGACTGTGAAAATTTGCCTTGTATGTTATGCTAAGGAATTTGGACTAAGCTTAGAGAGCCAGCTAAATGAATAATGCCCTTGGCTTGGGGTGTAGCACTCTAAGCTATTATCTGTCCTTAATACCTCACTTCCTTTCTAACACAACAGAGGAGAGTTTGTGATAAGAGTTAAGAGAGAAAATGACCAGTGGACAGAGTGTTGGGGAGTAGGGGGTCACAGCTGTCCTCGAAGGACTTGGAAGGGCAGCCAGGAGGAGCTGAGGTCCAGTCTTAAGGGATAGCTCCAGATATATTTGTGCTTTTATCATTAAAGCAATAGGGCACAGTCTAGGGCCTCAGTGAATTAGTCTTCAGGAGGCAAAACCTCATTTAACAAAGCCAGCCATAGCTTTGAGGGAGGCAGTGACAACAGGAGCCACCAAAGAAGAGGAAGGCAGGAGTCCTCACTGCTCCAGAGGCTGACCTCGCCTGCGGATCGAGGTCACACTCAGGCACCATGAGTAGCCATACCTCCTGGGAATGGAACAGGTAAGGCCCAGGTTGTGACAGGAAGTGGCCTCCAGGCTAGTCCCAAAGCAGTAAGTATACAGGTTACAGAACTGCTCCTCTTCAACCTGGATGGCCAGGAGGCCCCAGCCCTCCTCTGTGAGGGCAGAGAGGGGCACGTATGTTAGAGGGAGAGAATGCTACTGTTAGATTATTGCCTCTGCTCTTAATATTTTTTCTTCCTCTGACAACCCACTTTAGGTAAGGACATCTTTCCTTCCTCTTTCATTTATAGAGCTCTTTCTGTTTCTCGTAGACTCACTGAGAAACATCTCTGCAGCCAGTCACCATGGCCCCCGCTCTTCCCCGGCTGAGCTCAGCAGCTCCAATCAGCACCTTCTCCGAGAACGAAAGTCCTCAGCACCATCGCACTCCAGCCAGCCAACCCTGTTCACGTTTGAGCCCCCCATGTCGAACCATGTGCAGCCCACCTTGTCCACTAGCGCGCCTCAGGAGTATCTCTACTTGCACCAGTGCATAAGCCGGAGAGCAGAAAACGCAAGGTAGGGGCCGCCATGCCCAATAGATGATGGCCGAGTGTCTACTCGTAGGGCCTAGCACTTTTCAGTCCCTATATTTTAATTTTAAATACAAAGGAGCAAACTATTATATCTTTTCAGGAAAACAAATGCACATATAACAACATTTTTTACTTGTGTAACCTTCACATTGTATAGGTGGTAAAGGTGGCGTCCATGTTGCTACACAATGTTAATTGGGTTCCAAAGAAACCTCCCAGTATCAAAAATTATGCTATAAAAATTTTTTATTTGGGCTGGTGTCTCACGCTTGTAATCCTGGCACTCTGGGAAGGAGCTGATTCATCAGTAGCAGAGGCAGTGTGGACCCAGGTCTGCTCGCTCTGGGTCCTGTACCCTCTACACTGTGCTACTGTGCTTGTGTTTTTCTGAGTCACTTCCCATCATAGAACCTCCCAACACTCAATCTTAAGTCTGCCTCAAATGCCCTTTTTCCTGAAGCTGCGTGATTCGTTCATTTGTGGACCTGTCATTAATTCAACCTCCATTTGGCAGTGTGGTATAATGAAAAGCATCTTCAGGCTTTGGAGTCAATCACACGTGGGTGCAAATTCAGGTTCTGCCACTCTTCTTGGTGATCCTGAGCCACTTATTTAAGCTTATTTACCTTCAATTTTCTTATATTCAGAACAGGAATAAGTAATTCAAAGATTTACAATGTGTGTAAAATGACCAAACATACTTAAAATACCCAGTAGTAGTAGTAGATACGCAGTACGTACTACCTGTTACCCTTGTATCCCATCCCCTTCTACTGCATGTGTGATAGGCTGGGATTGGACAAAGTGGGGTTTTAAAATCATCTTCTATTGCATAAGGTGAGACGTGAAAAAAAGTATAGTTTTAGTGAAAGACAAAGTGCTTAAGAAGTGCCTTGCCAACTTTAATGTGCATATGAAGTACCTGAAGATCTTGTTGAAATGCTCATTCTCAGTGCAGTAAGCTTGGGGTCCTGGGATCCTGCCTTTCTGATAAACTCTATCTAGATGATACCAGGTCAGCATGTCTGCAGATTGTACTTGAAGTAGAAAGCTTTGTATAATATTAACAACTACCACACACCTCTACTCCCACGATACTGATAAGCATCAGAGAAAAATATATATAAATGTCTCTACTTGAATTAGCAATTAGGACCTGCTCACTGCACCACTACTTCTTCTATAAAACCTCTATTAATTTCCCTAGCTGGAATTCGTGGTCTTCTCTGATTTACCCTAGCAGTATTTTTTATTATCTCTCACCCAGCATTTGGAACTTTCTACCTTGTATTATGGATTTTTTATTAATATGTTACTGTTCTTTGAAGAGGGAACCCAGGGTACGCAGTAAGTGCATAATAAATATTTGAACCCGTCTGTACTGTGGAGAGATAACATAGCAGAGGAGATAGAACTCATCTACAGGTGGGGAAGTAGCGCCGTTGTGGGTCCTTGACCAAGCTGTGGTTTTCTTTGTATTTTTGTTTTCACTGTGTGGATGAGCGAGCAAGGTGGTAATAAGATGGATCTCAGGGAGATTTTTAGAGAAATAAGTTCAAACAGTATTTGCAGAATTCCAAAGGGAGGAAGAGGGTTGGAAGGAAGCTTCCCTAAGTTCAGAAAGACTGCATAGTTTCTGGTACTGTTGAAGTAGCTTACATCATATTAAACCTACTGTGACAATTATAAACTTTGGGTAAAATATTTAAAAAACAACTGTTTGAGGGCACTGAAGAGCAGTGAAAAATCAAACAGAAACTGGAAGAGATTTGACTCTTGAAAAAAGTGAGATTCAATTTACATGGCTTTTCCTATGAAGTTCCTGTAACATACAATCTAAACTGTTCAGTATGGAATGAGAAATTGCTAGACCCATGAGGAAACCCTGAGCCCTGACACATAGTGGAGAGAAGTCAGTGCACAGAAACAGACCAAACCAAACCCTACAAAGACTTTAAAATAATTATGATAATGGATTAAAAGATGATAAATTCACAGCTATGATTTAGTAATAAAAAAGAAAAAATGATAAATTTTAGAAGACATATACAAACTCTGAAAAAGAATTTAGGAGTTCTGGTTCCTCTAGGGTGGCAGAAGCCGCTGTTAACAGTATATGGAGGCAAAATTCACACGTACAGAAGGCTGACATTTTATATCCCTCCCACTGATTACAACGAAAACTCTGGACAAAATCCAAAGTACAATTACCCAAAGACCCAGAAAAGTAAATAAAAGGAGGCAGATTGTAGAGGGGAGAAAAACCTGGAGACATGTCTACACAGAGATGAAGGTTTTTGTCTCATGGATTTGCCTCCATCACAAAACTCTCATAGAAAGCCCATCTTTCTGGGTAGAGGAACCAAAAAGGGAGCCCCTGTCCCTTTGGGGGCTGGAAGAAGTACTGACCATGAGGCGAGCTGATGGATCTCCTATTCTGGGAATGTAACTACATATGTCTTAGGCTCACCTTGAGCTGTCCTTGTGTGGGGCAGACCCAAACCAGCATAACAAAGGCTATGTGGACTGAACTAAGATTTGAACTACCACACCCAGGAGACACAGAACTTGCAATTGAACCTAACCAGGTTGATTTCCTGCAGAAACAAAACTATCAGTTCTCCAGGGGATTATAATAGAAGTCTGCACAATTAACAGTCACAACATTCAGGATATATAATCCAAAATTATATGTTTTGCTGAGCATCAGAAGAATATAACCTGTTCTCTACAGAAGAAACAGGTGCTAACCTCAAGAAACCCCTGATGTTGTAATTACCACAGATTTTTAAAGCCCCTGTTAAAATAACATTCCATGTGATAAAGGAAAACATTTGAAATTAATGGAAAATATAAAACCTCCACTAACCTACATCTATATTCTGCAAAAGTATCCTTCGGGAATGAAAACAAAATGACATTTTTTAGATGAAGGAAAAATGAGAGGATTTCCAAGAGATCTGTTTTAAAGGTCTTCAGGCTGAAGCAAGTTGGTATATACAGAAAGGAAATGTGGATCTTCAGGAATGAAGGAAGAGCAAGACAAATAGTAAATATCTGTGTAACTATAAAAGACTATTTTTCCCGTCTAAGTTCTTTAAACTATGTATGAATGTGGAAAGCAAAAATGAAACATTATCTAGTGAGATTCTCACCTGATTTTCTTTCTCTTCAGTATGAAGAGCTCCCTTTACCATTTCTTGCCATGTGAGTGGCCAGGTGACCTATTTTTCCAACTTTGATTTATCTAGAAATATTTTAATTTTACTTTTATATGTGAGAGCAATTTTTGCTGGGTATAAAATTCCAAACTGACAGTTTTATTTCTTTCACTATATAAAGGATATCATTCTAGTCTTCTGACATTCTTTGTTTCTAATGCACTATCAGCTATTACTTTTTTTCTATTCTTCTGGGTTTTGGGGGGGTTTTTTGCAGTTTTTGGCTGGGGCTGGGTTTGAACCTGCCACCTCCAGCATATGGGGCTGGCGCCCTACTCCTTTGAGCCACAGCACCGCCCCTTATTCTATTCTTCTAATATGTAATATATCCTCCTTCCTCCAAATAATCTTTTCTCCTCTTTAAAAAAATTATGAAATAGGCTTGGCGTCTGTGGCTCAAGTGGCTAAGGCACCAGCCACATACACCTAAGGTGGTGGGTTTGAATCCAGCCCGGGCCCACCAAACAACAATGGCTGCA